AGCTCTTTTTGCTGATGACTCAACTTTATACTCCTGTCTTGACAAAAAGTCTTCTCTTTTTGATCGCCTAGAACAAGCAGCTGATCTTGAATCCGATCTCACTTCAGTAATAGATTGGGGTTCACAGTGGCTTGTGAATTTCAACTCTAAAAAAACCCAGTTGCTTAGTGCAAACAACTACCGTAATATGGTCAACATTCCTATATTAATGAATGGCAATCCTCTTACTGAGTCGTCCTCTTTACGTCTTCTTGGATTATTGCTTACTACTGACCTTTCATGGAAACCATATATACAATCGATTGCTAAATTTCATGTTATATTATCTTGCATTCATTACTCAGCTTTGTTTTAATTTTCACATGCACAATTTTTATCTTTATTATTATTCAGAGAATATTTTTATATCCTTCATTTTATGTTTACACATATGTCGCTTACATTTTTTAGGTTTTTTTGCAACGTTCTTTTTCGCTATCATATATTATTCTATTATTGTTATGATTTTGGGTTTCGCGGGTTACTCATTTTCCTACACTTTTGATTGGTTATCATATTTCGAATGAGGTATCTATGACAGCGTTAGAGTTTATTTTAGGGTATTGTTTTGTTTATTAAAATTTTTTTTAATGAGGTATACTGCTTTCTGATTATCTTGGGCTTGTTTATGCTAATAATACCTATTTGGTTTTATTTCTTAAAATAAATTGATTAATATTTTTATGTTTCTATTAGAATTTTAATTTATTTTGTTTCATGTTTTCTTTTGGTGGTACGGTAAGTGTTTTATTTAGTTATTTTTATTTTTGTTTGTTCAGTAAATCTATACTTTTTATATCATATCATCAAGAAAAATATTGGTGCTTTACTAAATTTGGGGTTGGTTGGGTTTTGGCTATTTGTAGTGAGTCCTTTTTTACTGCAGTATGGAATAGGCGTAAGTCGCGGGGTAAAGCATAAGTGGCAATGACGTTTGTCTGACGGGATAAACTAGTTATAAATGCTGATCCTCATCGAAACGCCAGTAATAATAGACGCGACTCTGAGGAGATGTTTATTACTTATCACTACACTAATTATGTTTACACACTAGCATTAATGTTTTTTTTCCATTATTAGCCCTTTCATTGTCGTTAGCATATTTTTAATTTGTTGAATAGTTTTTTGTTTTACAAATTTTTGACTGGTTATGTATTTCTTGTATATTTTAGTTCATATTGGTAATTATAAAACAATTTTTTTTTTTTTTTTTTTTTAATTTTTTATTTTATATATATATATATATATATATATATATATATATATATATATATATATATATATATATATATATATATATATATATATATATATATATTTTATTATTATTTGTTATTATTTGTTTTTAATTTTTTTTAATTTTTTATTGTTATTATGGTTGAGTACTGTTTTGGTTGTATAGCTTGTCTTATTTATTTTTAAATATTCCTCTATTAATCTTTATTTTTGTCTTGACAACTGTCAAAATATGCTTTGTCTAATAAATAATTCTCCTTTATTCTAATGTACTTCATTTCTTCCCTCAGGCGTTCACTGCTCGTGTGTGACCATTCGGCGAATTTTATATGCCATAGTTTTTAAATAATATTGGGCCTAGCCCGTAAGGGTTAGTGTTACGGTCATCGAGCACGACTATTTTCCTAATCTCAATTACTGTCACCGCGAAAGAGGATTTTTGTCTGTGGAAGATGCCTGGGCTAGCTTTTTAGTCATAAGTCAGTTATAAATCCATGCATAGGTGTTTAATCCATCATGGTTTTCTGGAGTATGGCTGGGCTTGCTTGGTTTAGTTCAGAGACAAATCTTTTACGCTGGTTACTAACAATACAAGACTCTACTGAACGACATAAACAGCACAGTCGATTGCTAAATTAGCTTCTGCTAATTATATAAATCATAATATTGTAAAAGGGTTTATTTGAAACATATTGAATGACTTTACTGTATCTTTTTAACCTGATATAACTTTGAAAACAAAGAAATTTTATTTATGTTTTGACAAAAACATGGCTGACAAAAATTATTAATGCGTGTTTGATAAACAATAAAAATTAATGATGCGTAATTTAACTAAAGTCAATATATAAGTAAAGTAGAAAACAAGGTTAAAAGGTGTTTTCAACCAAGAAATTCTTCGAAAACACAGGTTTGAACTTGTTTATAAAACTTATTTACCAGTTTCACTATTTTTTTATCATTAGTTGTAAACTATAATCCTGATTCAATCAACTACAATTAAATGCGTCTAATTTAGATTTTTTAAATGAAATAAATTCATTTTTAATGAGTTAATTTCATTTAAAAACTAAAAAGAAGAGAAGTTTTATTTGCTAGAGTTCCTTTTACAGAGTTTCGTCCCTAACAGGCTTCCTACAAATGGAGTAATACTCAGAAGATATTACTGGCTTAATCTAAAAAAAGCAAAAAGTAAATCTGTAATCAATTAACAAAAGCATTACATTTTCTTCATGTTCTATGTTTAATACTTTTTAATGCTTATCTTACTATTTTTTTAGCACCACAAAGATCAACATCAAAATTGGTTGTCCAGTTGCTTCCATGAAGACGTATTTAAGATGCTCCAGGTTTGCTGATGGAGTATGCAGAGAAAACACCAAGTAGGTAATTACTAGTGTCTGTATAAAGAGAAAGTTTATGGAGAGAGAGCACAAGCAGATAATTACTGGTGTCTGTATTCTGAGGGAGCTTATCAATTTATGGGTGCAGGGTGCGTTTAACAATGTTTTCATTGTGATGGAGCTAACTAACAAGACCAGAATCACCAACAAAGTCAAGGAATAACACACTTTAAAAAGGCTAAAAACACTTGAGGGTAGCTACAAAAAAGTGAACACTTTTTTGAAAGAGAGCAGTGTTTTCTTTTCTATTCATAAAACAAACATATTTGATTTAATAAAAAGTGATAAAAATAAGGATGATCAGGCTAAGAGCGCAGTCATAAAATTATTGACAGATTGTCTGAGAAGGGATATGGTCAAATTAGGGAACATGGACAATAAATTTTATGAAAATGTGTAGAGTGACAAAAAAATGTGTAGAGTGACAAAACCACATTCAAATTAAATAATACATTACATAATATTTCAATCTTAGATCCTTCCTAGGTGAGATTTTGTAAAACCTGTTGGCTGGATAAAAAGGTTTATTGAATATCCTCCCTGTAATACAATACAATTAAGCTCTTAGTATTTTGAATTAAAGTACTGACAGACTGCAAGCACTAAATGGTAGTTTTTTTTTCAAAAGGTATTTATTTAAAAAAATCATTTATAATGATTGTTTAAAATAAATACATTTTTTTTAAATTAACAAAATTGTCATATTTAAATTTTTTTTTTTATGGAGGCATGTAATTTTTATGATAAATATAAACGTTTGAAACTATTTTTTATGTTTTTCTAAAAATCTTTTAAAAGATTATTTTTCAAAGTTATTTTAAATCATGAATCTTTTTGTTGCAATGGAATGATTTAGTTACTATATTTTTTTGTCTCTATTTTTACAAAAAATTGATTAAAACCTTTTTTTTAATTTGGCTTACTAATCTGAGCATGAAATGATTAAAAACTAAAATTATTAAAAGACTACGTTAATTTTTGGAAAAAAAAAATTTTTTGAAATTTTTTGGAAAAAATAAACGTTTATACAACTTAAAAATAATATGTATAACACTTTATAATAATTTACTTTGTTCATTAAACAGTAAAGAGAGTTTATTTAGGAAAAAATTTGGGAAAAAGTTTAGGAAAGCGTTTTTTATAACTTTAAAAATATTAAAGTTATGCAAAACGCAATCAATAACGTAACAAAAAGTAATTTTTGTTTCGAGTTTTTTGAGTTTTATTTTAGTGCATATATATTTTCTTTTAATTAACGAATTAATTGCTTTTTAATTTTTTTTTATCATTTTAATTTTTTTCCTAGTTTAGGTTCAGCATAGCAATTCTTATTTTAGCGCATTTCTAAAATCATTTTTAAAAGATCTAAACAGTCAAGGTCATGTGGTCAGCAATAGCGCTCGATCGCATGCCATTCCTGTCTAAGTTAAATATATACTACTACTTTAAAAGATTCTTTTCCGTCTTCCGTTGAACAATTTAAAATGTTTTTCAAGGCCAGATGTGAAAGAAAATTGCATACATCCATTCTTTCAACTTTGCTTTTAAATGCTTAGATAATATGCTGTTTCAAATATACTGTTAGTATCCGCTTGTTTTTTTCATTTTTGAATTTGGAGGATAACATTTTTGAAAAAGCTTATCTATTTATAAGTAAACTTCATATTAGTCTCACAAAATTCATAATAAAAGTTCTCAACATCACTAAATTAATTTGTTGATTCAGTTTAAAAAATATAATCAATATTTTGTGATAAAATATCCACCATCTTTATATTGCTAAGCTTTTTTGTCTAGTCAAATTCTGTATATGTATATATATACATATATACATATATATATATATATATAAATATATATATATATATATACATATATATATACATATATATATACATATATATACATATATATACCATATATATACCATATATATACCATATATATACATATATATATATAAATATATACATATATATACTATATATATACATATATATATATGTATATATATATATATATATATATATATATATATATATATATATATATATATATATATATATATATATATATATATAAATATATATATATATATATATATATAAATATATACATATATATATATGTATATATATATATATATATATATATATATATATATATATATATATATATATATATACACACACACATAAACTGTATAAAGCACAACTATAATGTTATAATTCTGTTATAAATGAAATGTAATTTAATATCAAAAAATCAATTTGATTTTACATTATTTAAAAAAAGAAATAAAAAGAAAGGTAAAAAAAGTACCTTTGTTTTTTGCATGAAAACTTGATGATGTTTGATGATTACATCTTTATGCTGTTTATAAGCATGCTGTACTTTAATAGTAATACGGTTCACAGAATCTCTTGCCTTAGCAGATCCAAATTCAAGATAAAAACTAACCATACCATCGTCTATTTTTTGCATAGAATGATTATTTAAATAAACCTAAAATCAGTAATTTATAATATTTTGAAAATATACACAATACAACAATTATAATATACATATAGATTTATTATATATGTGTGTATATGTATACATATATATATATATATATATATATATATATATATATATATATATATATATATATATATATATATATATATATATATATATATATATATATATATATATATATATATATATATATATATATATATATATATATGTAGGCCCGTGCCATGGAGGGGTCATTGGGAGCAATCGACTTCCCTTTTTATGCAAAGTGCCTTTTTTAATTTGACGCCAAAAATTATTTCTAGATTCTTTTCGAAGTCAAAATATTTAATCAAAATTTCTAACATAATTATTCGATTTTTATGAATCATTTTCATGAAACAATTTTTACTTAATTGTTTCACAAACATAAGACATCATTAGAAGTCATTGTGAAATCTTTTGTAAACGAAAAATAAAAAATAGTCTCCAGAGCTTATACTGTAATTACAATTCTCTACTAATACTAATTCACTATTAAAAGCAAACGATAAAGTTACCATGCTTAACTAAATTAGGAAACTAGCAGCTGATAGAAAAGAGCTTCAAAATGCTGTAAAGAAATGCAAATCGTTAGCTGGATATTTAAGTAAAAAAGTTATTTTAATCTTCTTTTTATAAAAATTAGTTTGATTAGTTTGATATTAACTAGATAATAACTAGATATAGATATAGATATTATCTATACGTTTACTATAATGTTTTTATTACATTTTTTAGTACCTTTGTTTTTGGTTCTTTTTTATTGTAATATTTACGTGAGTTTTTTTAATTTTGGTATAGTTTAAGATCTGAAAGTTTATTAATAATTACTTACGCTTCAAGTGTTGTTTATTATCAACAGTCCTTAAAATGTAACCGATAAAACATTACACGAAGTAGAAGAAAAAGAGGAAGTCATTAAAAATGATAATAATGTTAACAAAAGCTTGTCATGTGAAGTAGACCAAACAACTTTGAAAGAATGTGATTTTAAAGAAGAAGAAAAATGATATGATATTGATGAACTCTTGCCCGGAAATCAAGAATTATCACCACATGAAATATACAAAATGCTTACGAATAAATTAAAACATAAGATACATTTTCAATTTCCCAAAACATTAAAACATGGTTGCAAATGCACTTTTAAAGAAGACTATATACAAAATGGATTTGTCGACAGCAAAAGTGAAGATGCAGTCTAATGCATATATTGCACTTTATTTCTAAAGCAGGATAAAAAAAAATTTTTAGGAGCTTTTGTTAACCGTGGATATAAAAGAAATGGCACAATGTTTTAGAGAAACAAAAACTACATATAGGCAATAGATACCATAAAGAACCTATCGAACAAGCTAATGACATTTGTTGTCATTTTGAAGATCCAAGGCAAACCATTCCATTACAAAGCGATAGCACTTTAAAAAACCGACAACTAATGTACCCATACATTGTTGAAACATTAGGTAGAATAGTGCATTTGATGGGGAAACAAAGATTTGCATTTCGTGGAACTTATGAAAAGTGTATGGAAAACTCAGACTAAAAAGGCAATCCTGGAAACTTTCTCGCAATTGTGCAAGAAATAGCTCGCCATAACGCTGAACTTAATGCACATATACAAACACCATTATGCAAAGATGTCAGCTACCTTGGCCCCAAGAGTCAAAATGGATTAATTGATATAATTGGAAAGAAACATATTCAAGATTATTGAAATCAAAGCAGCAAATTATCATTCAATATCAGTAGACGAGGTAACAACTGCAAACCAACAAATTCTATCAGTATTTATGAGACACATAAATGGAGAAAAAGACATTAGAAAAGTATTTCATGATTTTTTGAATCTTTACAGGATAATAGGCAAACACATTGGGGAAAATTTTATAGCAAAAGTGGAATTGATCTTAGTTATTGTAGAGCCCAGTGTTACAATGGTGCACCATACATGCAATCTGTAAAAAAAGGTGATGCCGGCTATATTTTAAAAGGATCACCAGAAGCAATTGTAACACATTGTAGCTCACATAATTTATATTTATCAATTGCTGCAACATCAAAAATACTAATCATTGATAAAATTTTGAAGGTATACAGAAATATATCCATTCATTTCAATATCTCTCTGAAAAGAGAGCGCTTTCTGGAGTATGTTGCAGAGATCTGTTGTAAATCAACTGAAAGAAAAAAGATTTTGATAAGGATGTGCAAAACAAGATAGTCAGAAAGAGATGCCGCATATGAACACTTTTATTTAGCTATACCATTTATGGCAGAGGCATAGAGATTATTTTAGGAATACAATATAGAACAGTTTAATAAAGAGTTTAGTATGAATTGGGACGCACAAGAAAAAAGAGAGGTCAACTCACTCCTTAATGCACTCACCAAGTTCAAATTCATAATTGGTAATATAACTTTGTACAGCTTACTTCACCCGTTGTTGTATATAATAAAGAGGTTGCAAGGGCGCACAACTTATATTGTGTATGCATACAGTAACATTGAAGAAACAATCGACAATATGAGCAATCTACGGAAAAATGTTGAAAAAGAAACTTGCGGAATTTACCAACAAGCTATTTGCATGGCAAGTAAATTATTTGTAGAACAAACGATTCCCAGAACCACTATGAGACAGGCCTACTGAAATAACGTTCCTGCAGAGAGTTCATATGAATATTATAAACGGGCCTTGATTATAACTTTTCTCGACACCATTATTTCAGAAATCAAAATACGATTCCAAAAGACAAATTGAATTGGCACTAAGGTTTTATGCTTGGTTTCCTCGATAATTTGCAGTGAGGAGATAAGTGCTTTCCAGGAGTTAGTTGAAATGTATAAAAGTGATCTTCCAAACTCAGAAGCTGTTGATCAAGAACTCATGTTTTGGAAAAGAAAATGGTCTGTTAATAAACCTAAAGATAAGCCTAATACTCTAGCTAAAGCCATTGAAATCTGCAATGAAAATCAATATCCTAATCTCTTTGAGTTTCTAAAGATTGGATGTACACTACTCGTAACATCCGGAGAATGTGAACGCCGGTTTTGCAGCAATGCAAAGATTAAGAACTAGTTGAGAGCCAGTATGACTGCAGATAGATTTGGTTCATTAACCATTATAAATATCCACTACTATGAAATTCTTGATAATAAACAAATCTCAAAATTATTTTTTACTTTACATCCTAGAAAATTGTATGAAAAAAGTTTAGCTTTTGAATAAAAATTTAAACCATTTATCAAAGTATTATTAATCTTTGTATCGCACGGTTGGCCAAAGAGACCGCCAGCTTTTATGTCGTGTCACTCATACAAATTTTTTTTTATTTTAGAGTATTAGTAGTTTACTTATAAAAAAAAGTTTTTTTAAAATCTGAATACGGTGCAAAGGGTCAAAAAAGGGCAAGAAAAGGGCAATGCAAAAGTTTCTAGCCTCATATTTTTATAAATGATTGTAATAACGAATTTTATTCTGATTAAAAATTGTATAGAAACATACGCTTGAAATTTAATGGAAAGTTCTCTATTTTACATTTGAAACAAAAAAATTATATATTCAAATGATGAAATTCGACATCTTTTTGAATATCTTTTTTGATACCTGGTTTTTATTAACATCAATTTTAAATTAATGACTTACAAATTTATTAGAAGAATTTAAAAGTTAAAATATTTTTTTAAATAATGAAAATAATAGCCGCTTTGTATTTTCTATATATATGTCAACATAAATTAATAATAATAAATCAAGCAACGTTTTAAGGTAAATATTTTAATGAGAAAATCAAATCCAGGCTTCATAATTATAAAAGATTTTTAAATTGTTTTTAGTTAAGCGTTAACTAATTTTTGCTGATCTAGTAACTTTATATAAAAGGAATTTTGCATAAGCTTTTTTTTAAGATAGCAATTTAAGTTAAAGTTTTCTCAAGATTAAGTATTTTAACTTAATGGTATTATATTAAGTTTGCATTTTTTTGGATATAATTCACATTGATTTCAATAAATTTAAATGGCTGGTGTTAGCATGTCAACTGCTTCTTTTCAACGAAATGCAACATGTTGTTGCTGCTGGGAATTTTTTGGAGCAAGGTCATTGTCTTTATCTCCTGTAAATTCAACAATAGAAAATTTGATGAAGCTGTATATATATCCCGGTTATTCCCTGGAAATTAGCAGTTACCCAACTGTAGTTTGTTCCAGTTGTAGAAGGAATCTTTACATGATCAAGTCCGGTAATACACCCAGAGGCTCGTGGGGAGAGAAAGTATCAAAGGTAGAATGTCAAACTATATTTTAAACTCATTATTTCTGTCAAGTTTTTTTAAGCTATAAAGTTTTAAGATTATTAATATTTCTTTAGATATAGATACCATCTATATAGCAATCGATAGTCTTAAAAAAATACGCTTTAATAATAATTAAAAAAACGTTAAAAACGAAAACGTTTTTATTTTTAACCTTATTATTAAAAAAGATATATCATTACTACTTATAGCAAATTCAAAATTGTAATGAAGCACTTATATTTAAATAATTTTGTATTTCACTTTTAAAGGTTGAATGGAAAATGTTGACCAGAAATTCAAATGGAATGCTCCCAATTAGTGAAACCGAACCAGTTATATCTTTTTCTGCCAATAATTCAAAGCTCTGTGGACAATGCTACTCAATCTTATCAGCAGGACATGTCCACAACTGTTCTTCATCAACTGCTGTAAAAAACTTGATTTTTCTATCCACAAGTCTAGGGAGCATTTAAGCTGAACAAGTTGCTTCAGGTATAATACAAAATAAAATGAGTGCAGACTGCATTTCAACAGGGACAACATTTTCTTTATCGACTGGGGGAAACCCGTTGAATGTAACTGTTGGATCTCCTTCTAACAAGGTAAATAGAAGATCAGTAAAACAAGTATCCTTACAAGTTATAAAGGAACTTCAAGTCGTATTAGAGCTTTCTAATAAAAAGACCAAACAATTAATTTCTACTCGTCGGAAAGGAATAGGGAGTAAGACTGTTGTAGAAACTAACATTTTTAACAAGTTAAATGATCTTTCGGAATCCATATCACATTTTTATCATGTAGAAAAAGTAATTTATATTTTAAATATATTCATATTTATATATTATTTATAGATATCTAGTAATATATTGATCAAAAAATTGCTCTTTTATGATGTTAGATTTTCTAATATAAAATGATATGCAAAAAAGAGAGAGATCCTTCACTGTGAATAAAACATCCCTATTCGAATTAGATTTTGAATAATTTACATAATTATTTTGTGTTTTTTATTAATCTTTAAGTTTTCTTAGTAATTTTTACATACAATATAATGACACTATATGAATGTGACAAAATAATGACACTTATCTATTTATACATCTTTACAGATAGATTTCCTTGACAATGAATTGGGAATTGTTGAAAAGGATCTTGTGTATGTTCAAGAGTCATCATCTTTCACAATGGATTTGATTAACCAACGTGGTTTAGACGTTCATTCTGCATTTGTACGAATATCTATGGATAATGGAGGATCCTTTTTGAAAATTATAATCAATGTTTTTGATGTAAATGAAAAAAAAAAGTCTTCTGTAATGTACATGAATAGTGGTGTTCAACGTTGTCAAATTCTTGCTATTGTTGAAGATGTTCCTGAATCAAATCATAACTTAAGAATTATATTAGAAAAACTCAAGTTACAAGATGTCAATTTTTTTGTAGCATTTGATTTAAAGTGCGCTAATGCTGTGTTTGGTCTATCAGGCCATGCAGGAAAAAGAGCATGCCTGTGGTGTGAAGGTTTGAAAAATGGAGAATGTGGAAAGTTAAGAACTCTTGGAAGTCTTGATTATTGGTATGAAAAATACAGTGTCGAAAATAAATTTAAAAAATCTAACATGCAACAATATATGAATGTGATACATCCAAGGATTCTCTATCTAGAGAAGAATCCAGATACTTTAATTCAGCATTTGGTACCACCTCCTGAATTACATCTTTTGATTGGAGTTGTATCTACTTTAGGATGTCTACTTATGGATATTTGGCCTGAATTTGATGACTGGCTGAAAACTAAAAGTGTTCATCAGAGAGGGTATCAAGGTAGAGGTTGGGACGGAAATAATTCTAACAAGATCCTGAAAAACCTGGATGAACTTGATAAAGTAGTAGCATCTCAGGTTCCTCAACTGAGACCTATAATTCAGTGTTTGAAAGACTTTAAAATAGTAAAAGATTCCTGTTTTGGTCAAATTCTTTTGACAGAGTATAAAATGGCGTTTACTGTGTTTAAAAATTCTTTCCTTTCTACCCAAGAGCTTGCACAGGCTTTAGGGAAAAAATGTTCTTTAAGCTGGAAGTTTCACATCTTGCTGTGTCATGTTCAACCCTTTGTCAAACACCATAACCGTGGTCTAGCTAAGTTTGCTGAACAGTGTGGAGAGGCTATTCATTCTAAATTTAAACCTACCTGGAGTAGATATAAACGTGCAGAAGACCATGCTCAACATGGAGAACAGCTGTTATCCTCTGTAATAAATTTCAATGAAAGAAGACTTTAATTTATCTTTAACTTTGACATGTTGCTTTCTAAAGTGCAGGAAAATGAATTAATGTGTATTTGGATTGTGTAACAAATATAAATTAATATTGTAAATATATATATATATATATATATATATATATATTTGTTTTACTTTTTTAAATTGCTTAAAGTCTTTATTTGTAACAGGCATCTAAAATGTTTAAATGGACTTGTGGCCCCATCAATTTAACCTTTTTGCTTTATTTGTGAGTCTTAGTTCTTTGTTTCGATTTTAAAACACTTGTGTCAATTTGTAGAAGACAAATATCATAAATTAACAAATTTTTCTTACAATGGGCGTCTAAAATACTTCAATGGGGGTAGGGCCCCTCAATCTTACTTGTTTGTGTCCTTTGTGATCCCTAGGACTTTGTTCCAACTTTTATAGTTTAAAAACTTTCTATTCTATTTTTATAAGACACATATTCTTAATTAATTTATATATTTTTTGTAATGAGCGTCTAAAATGGTCAAATGGGCATCAGGCCCCTTAATTTACCTTTTTGCCCCATTTATGACCCTTAGCAATTTTTTCGGATTTTAAAAATGCTAGATTCTATTTTTATAAAGCAAATACTCTTAAATAAAAAAATTTTCGTTCAAGTGACACGACATAAAACCTGTCGGTCTCTTTGGCCAACCGTGATCTATACCCATTTTCTAACTAGGAGCTTGCTTATACACCTATGCAGTATACACAAATATAGCTACGTTTCACGAAAATTTTATTTAGTAAATTTAGTAAGATATTTATTTGGCGTTATAAAACTGCCCTTTTTTTTTTTAAATGTGCCCCCCCTCCTAACAAATTTCACGGTATAGCCGTGATATATATATATATATATATATATATATATATATATATATATATATATATATATATATATATATATATATATATATATATATATATATATATTCCTTAGATATAATAGTAAAAGTTTAAGGCTTTCATGAGAACCATAAGCTTCCAATTTAGCTATTAATAAATCATTGAAATCAAAAATGAAGTTGCATATAGATTTATTATATATATATATATGTGTATGTATATGTATATATACAGGCTTGGCCAGGAAGGCGTGCGATTTCAAGTCTTTATATGACCAAACAAATAATATTTTGTTTTGACGATTTAACCATGGTTTTTAAAAAATGCGCTAAAAATTGGTTTAATAATTTAGATAATCTTAGTGTTATGGTTTATTATTTATTTTAGTTAAGTTTTAATTAAGTTATTTTATTCTTCATTATTTTTTTAAGAAGATTTATTTGCTTTTTTAATGATTTTTTTTTATGTTTTTCAGATTTAAAATAATTTTTTCAATGCGTTTTTAAAATGCATATGTCAAGTTTTTAAAATCAAATAGTACTATGACGTGAAATCAAATATATATATATATATATATATATATATATATATATATATATATATATATATATATATATATATATATATATATATATATATATATATATATATATATATATTATACAACTATGTATATACAATTTATACTTTATAGAAAATTCTATCAATCCAACCAAAAATTAACAAAAAATAATTTTTGTTAATTTATAGGAAAAAAATTATTCACATTTTAGTTAACAGGCTAAATTTATATCTCACATACAAACAAAAGGGCATTAGATTGGTCACACAATGCTTGGCGTTGTGGCATGTAAGGATTTAAAATAATAAAATTTACCATGTGCAGCCATGAATATCCTACAATACATAACTTTAGGCTTTTAAAAGTATTTAAGTAAAACCAATACCTAGATAAAATCTGGCCAGACTTAAGGCTGTCAGCTGTAAGGCAAGACTTAAGGCTGTCAGACTGTAATAAATATAAAACACTAGCAATTTAAAAAATTATCTACCTGTTTTGTGCAGAACAAGTCAGGAAATTCTATATTTAAAATATGAAACTCATAACTGCAACCAAAGAATTTTTTTGCTGAAACTGCAAAAAAAAAACAGATTAAAATTTTTATTATAAATAACATTTGTAACAAATGATTAGCTTTTATAACTTTATTTATAAATACATCTATTTATGAAAGTTAATCATTTATTATATGTGAAGTGAAAAAGTTTCACATTTATTACAAATATATTACATTTGCTTGTTTAAAAATAACTATTATTTGAAAATAAATTTTTATTTTTATAGTTATATAACTTTTAGTTATATAACTATATAAGTTATTATTTGAATAATAGTATAGTAATTAATAATAGTGTCCCATTGTGCATTATTTGACGATATGCTTTAAAAAACAAAAAAACAAAAAAACTAGATTACAAAATGACAAAAGCAAAGGTTGTTTTTTATTTTTTAATAATAAACTTTTGTAATCTTTTGTTATAGTTTTCTTACCATCAATGTTAAGAGGAAATTTCTCATCACTTTGCCAGTTAATAAAACCATTTTTATAATTAAATGGACACTTTATCTCTAAAATACCTTTTCCAAAGCAAGAACAAGCAAATATTTCATCAGGAGTTGCTCCTAAAAAAGGCAGATCAGCCATAACATGAAAACCAGAGTCAACGAACACAAAATTGTTATGCTCCTTTAACTGGATTTCACAAAAAGTATTTTTAGTAAAATATTCCATTTTTTTACCATATTGTGTGAATTTGGTCTTAAATTCTTTTTTATATTGCATGATTTCTTGTATAAGAGATTCACTCAAAACATCTTTATTTGTGTGAAATACATTAAAACATATTGAAGCTGTAATTCTTCCTGCCCGATGAACCTGCCAAGCTGATGACTGATTTTGCTGATATGTTACTTTAGCAAGTTAATCATATCGTTTTTCAAAATATGTTTGGCTAAAGTCTTCATATAGTTGCTTGGAATGTTTAAAAACCTGGAATTCAGTTAAATTATTGCAAGTAGGATCAAACAAACTAGTTATAGGTTCTGGTAAACAACCTGTCTCATCTTCTGAACCTGACTTAGTATTACTTTATTTCTGATTGCTATTACAACCTAAGTAACAGCTTTAGGATTGGATTGACATGAATTGTTAAAGTCGCTTACTGATATGCAATGTGACGGATCAATATACGAGTAGTTTCCATTTACTTTAAACATGGCTGATGCTCTTATGCTTTTTTTTTTTTTTTTATGAACAAGATTATTAAATGAGGGTAACTCTCCCCTTTTTTTATTTGTGCTAAAACTCATTGCACTTAATGGTGTTGCATTGACACTATTTTTTGAGGCATTCCATGAACAAAGCTGACTTGTAGATGCATCCTCTCTATTTAATCGGTGGTGCACAGCAGCCTCAAGTTTAAAAAGTAGAGCTGCAATATGTGAACAGACTGAACCTAGTCCTAGTGGACAAGTGCAGCTGGCTCTTTTAATCCACTCGTCTTTGTGAAGACAAACCCATACTTCATACATGCAACTCTTTATGCTAACTCTCTGGCTTGGAAGAACTAAATAAAGATCTATTGCCAGTAAAATAAGAAAATATTGATCTTGAACAAAAATCGTTTAATATTACTTATATCTTAATTTTATTAGCCTAATAATAACTGATTTGTATGCTCCTAATAATTAGGAGCATACAAATCAGTTTAGAAATCAATGTCTATAATATATAACCTTAGTTTTTATAAAACAATAATCTTCATTGATACTTGGAGCAAACAAACAATCTTGCACGTCGCCACACAAAAAATATGTTTTATATGCTTCCAATGACTTGGATGTCTTAGTATTTTCTTTTGTAAACTCACTAGGAGTGTCGATGAGAAAACTTATCACGTCTCTCCAAGTAATGTCAGGCAACTTTGTAATGTCTTTCTGCCAAACACTTTCAATAAAATTTTCCGGATTTAACTCAACCACGCTAACAATACTCATTATTTATTTAATGATAAATATGATTTTAATATTTTAAATGCTGTGTTTATAAGTAATGTTGACAATAGTTAAAACGATATTTAAAATTGTTTTGCCTTCCAGTATGCGCACGCATATTGTTTACATTTTGCTTTATACGTCACATGAAATTGGTCTATAGAAGTACAATTAAAAAAGGAGAAAACCCAATCTAATTGTGTATACACAATTAGATTGGGTTTTGCCCTTTTTAAAAAACCTTCGTGCTAACTTGCTTTTGATTAAGTTAAAAATTGTAATTAAACGAAGATTACGTTTTTTGGCCTTGTTTTTTTTTTTATTTCCATTAAAATATTTTATTTTTAGGTACCGTGAAACCTAAAGAATTTTTACTATTTCTTACTAAATCCAAAAAGAAAAATAATATTTTCGGTTATAATATGTTATTGGCAGAACTTGTTTTTAACAAATATCAGTATAATTTTAAAATTTAAGTATCTTATATCTACAGCACTAGTATTAGTTTTGTTTTTAAAACAAAATAAATATAAATTGGGCTTTTAAAGAGTTTATTTATTGATCGCGTTATTTTTTATCGAATTAAAGTTTGGTTTGTTTTATAAAAACAATTCTACTGCATAAAACTTAACAGCAAAGGGAAAACCCGAACATAACATCTAAACTCGAGTTAAAAAAAAATTTTTGTATGACGTCATTTATTAACTACAAAAGCGCATTATTTAGATCAGTATTTGGAATTGGAACTTACCTGAAATTAAGTTATATGTAATGTGAACATTTTAAAGTTACTTGAATTAAATTTATTAAATTTTTTTTTTATTTCAACATAAATTTTATCAGTAAAAAAAATTGTAAAACAGAGCGCTTTGAAATTTTTAAAGGAATTTTAATTAAATTTAATCAAATAAATTACTAAAACTGTGAATAATAATAAAATAAAATTAAATAAAATAAATTGAAAATATTTTTTTAAAAAAACGAAAAATATAGAAAAAAGGATATCTATCTGTTTTTTTATTTAAGAAAAAAAATATTGCAAATGTTTTTTTACAACAATTAATTACAGTTTAATGTTTTACGCAGAATCTGTTTTAAAAGACTGTTTAAAATAAACATATTGAAAAATGTTTTTGGAAATGCTTCCTAACAAGGCCTGTGTTATCTCTTGAAGTTTTTAAAAACTTATAATAAATAATGTATTACCTTTCTTTTTGAAAATTTCTCCATTTGGATCAAGATCAACAAATGATTCATTCTCAAAAAGCAGGTTAGACTTGTTATCCATGCACGTTAAGGAATAACTTAGCTAATAAACTATAACTTTTGGGCAATCTTTTGTGTTTTTTCACTCTATTTAAAAGATAAATAAAAAATTGTCTTATTGTACATTATATGGTTTTTAATTGTTTTACTTTTGATTTATATTTTGTCTACCTATAATAATTTATTGTTATGTAATTACATATTTATAAACTATTAATAACCAAATTATTACTACAAACTTTATAATTGAATATAAATACAAAAAACAACATAAAAGTAACATTTATATTTAAATAAATATAATTCCATTAAATGAGTCATAAATTCATAAAAAGAGTCATTAAACTTAAATTAAAATTAAAATAAAAAAGATTGTAAAAATACATAAGATAAAGAATACTTTGTACAAAAAAAAATTGAAAACCTAAAAATAAATTTAAAAAAATTTTTTTTAAATCAAAATAATATTTTTTATTGTACAATTTATTTTAAAATATCTCAATATTTTTTCCAATATATTTATATCCAATATAATATTATATTATATATAGGTTTCTTTATCAACCTAGGAGCTGCAATGCAATATTGCATAACTTTGTAAACTAAAAACATGTGCATATTTATTAGAAATAATAATTTAGTTAGAAATAATGTAAAAAAAGAAAATAATTAAAGTGTATAAACGAACTAAAAGATTGAAAAAAAATAAAACAAGAAAAAGAATAAAAGAAAAATATGAACAAACAGATTTAATTAAACAAAAACAAACAAAAAAAATTAAATAAAGTACCAATTTAAAAGAAAAAAGTTCGGTAAATGTTCAAAATAATAATTAAAAGAACTAACTAAAACGTAAAAAATCGCAACCAATTTTTCTACACCTTTTTTTTTTTGTATGCAAATATGTGATGTTTATAATATTATTATTTTTTATTATTATATTAATTATTAGTTTTATTATTATATTAATTATTAGTTACCAATACCAATATAGTATTACCATTAATTATTTTTATTAAATATTATATTTGTTAAATATTATCATTTTGTGCAAGCATTTTGTTTTGTACTTTTCGTTTGCATAAAGTTTGTTATTATTTGTGCTAATTATTTTTATTGTTGTTTTCTGTTTTTCTATTTTACCAAATTTTATACACCTTTTTTTTTTATTTTATTTTGAAAAAAATAACTAAAGTTTGTCCTTATTTTTTAATTTTATTTTATTTTGTAGAAGTAATTGTGTTTGCCTTTTCATTTTGTAGGTTTTGTGTTTCATCTTGTAGTTTTTGTGTTTTGCTTTTTTGTTTGTGTAAGGTTTGTTTTTTATTTGTTCTGTTTTGCTAATTATATTTATTTTTGTTTGCTGTTGTTATTGAGTGTTTTCATGTTTTTTGTCTTAGTATTTAACTTATTTCAGCTTTATCATTGTTATTATTATTTTCTTAGCGATTTTCGATTCATAAATTTTTTTTTATTATTATTTTATTATTATACCAATTGTTATAATTAATTAGTGTCACTCATTTTGATCATGAGTGACACTTATGTCATCATACTATTTGTATTATTATAGATAATATTATTATTTTTAATTATTATTGTTATAATTATTTGGTGTCACTCCTTTGATTAAGCTTTTGTTTGAGTGACACCTTCCTTTTCAAATAATTATTTATATTTATTCTTATTAGTTATATTTTATTATAACTATATTGTTTGTATTATTATAGATAATATTATTATTATTGTTATTATATGACTACATGTAAATTTTGAAAAGAAAAATAAATATATTGTTGTTGTTGCTGTTGTTATTAGAAGAAAAATAAAAATACATTGTTTGTTATAATGCATGATCATTAAAATCATAAATAAATTTTTACAATTGTTTTGTAATTATTTTAAACTCAGACTATAACATATATACTATACTATAAAAAAAAAAAAATATATATATATATATATATATATATATATATATATATATATATATATATATATATATATATATATATATATATATATATATATATATATATATATATATATATGTATATATATATATATATAATATATATATACATATATATATATATATATACATATATATGTATATACATATACACATATACATACATATATATATATATATATACATATATATATATATATATATATATATATATATATATATATATATATATATATATATATATATGTATATGGTACCCTGCGCTCCAACACTCATGCTCTACCATCTCCCATACTCAATAAAACTGAACTCAAAATTGTATACAGCTATAAATACCTCGAAATCCTGTTCAATGAGAATCTTGATTTGGATGAACAATGGATAAAGGTGCACAACACTATTAAATCAGTGCCATTTCTACTCTAATGCCTTAAGCAATCGGACACACTCAGCCCAACCTACTACAAGTCAACAGATCTTACGCTACTATCAACAGATCTTACGCTGATAGCCATATGACAATTAGTCCCCCAGTTCTTACCTCTTGCAGTCTTGCAGCAAAAAAAAGAGATTCAACATTTCCACAAAAATGCCTTACACATTATCGGAGTTGATGCTACCAACTCAAGCCGCCGCAATAATTGTTTTGACATTGAAGAATTACTTGACAAGACATGCACTAATATCCTTAAAAAGATACTTGCAGTACAAACCATCCAATAACTATTGTAACTATTGTAACAATAATTAGTTACAATAGTTTTGTTACAACTTTAGTTACTATAATTTTTTAACAATAGTTACAAACCATCCAATAACCACTAAATTACCTTGTACCAATAGCAGAAACCTAAATAGATTCCCATTCATTCTAAATGCGGTAGTGGTGTAGTGGTAGAGCGCTCGCTTCATAAACGAGTGGTTCCGAGTTCGATCCCCACCACGTCCCTGGTAGTACCGCGCTCAACTCGTTTCTCCGCGCAGCGGCCTTGTTCCTCAAGGTTCGTGTTTCGGAGTTATAGAGTTGAGAGAGGGTTATAGCCACAAAATAAGTAGCCTCCTCGTTTGTAGTGGCCTTCTCGGCCTTGAGGAGGTGAAGTAAAATAATAAAAAAAAAAAAAAAAATATCGCAATCACTACTACCTATCAGCAATCCTTTGTTCAAAAATACCTAGGTATTCTTCGTGATGGTGTCAGTGACCTCTATCTCTCACAAAACATCAGCAGCTCCGCTACTTTTTTAACACAAATGATTAGTTCTTTTTTCTGCGTTTTTAGCTAACTTTCAGTCATCATTTAACAGTATAATGTAATTGTAAATAAAGATTTATAAAAAAAAAAAAATTATATATATATATATATATATATATATATATATATATATATATATATATATATATATATATATATATATATATATATATATATATATATATATATATATATATATATATATATATATATATATATATATATATGTTATAACATGTAATTATTTTAAACCCAGACTATAACATATATATATATATATATATATATATATATATATATATATATATATATATATATATATATATATATATATATATATATAGTCTGGGTTTAAAATATATATATATGTTATAGTCTGGGTTTAAAATAATTACAAAACAATTGTAAAAATTTATTTATGATTTTGATGATCATGCATGATTATAGTCTGGGTTTATAATAGTTACAAAACCATAAAAAAGTCACTATTAAATATATAAAGATATTTATTTGCTTTTTTCTTGTATTAAAATTTCCTGACAAAGGAGAATAAATTTTAACAGAAATAATATTTACATGGATACATGTGCAATCAGACAAAACAGTAAAACTTTCAATTAAAAATTGTTGAATTTTAAGTTTTTTTAACACTTATATTAGTTAATCCATGATTACTGGGCCTATGACATTATCAACTAGTATTTTACAGACTCATCCCCCCCCCCTCCTTCTTTCCCTGCCTTATGTTGTTACTATTTTTTTTAAACATTTAAACTTTATATACTTAATGGTTTTTACAATTAAAAGACAACAATTAAAATTAATTTAAACTGTAAGCAAAATCATTATCTTTATTTAAACATTATTTATTAATTTTTTTTTATTTTAAGTCTATATTGACATATTCAAGTCTATATTGACAAGTGAATCTCTGTCCTGTGCTGCTTTCTACTGGAAAAACATAACAACAGCTGAGTATATTTCAGCTGTATTTGTCATTTTTGGAGGCCAGGGGGTACAAGTGACTAACTCTTACACTTGTACCTGTTGTGCTCCAAAGTTTTAGGTTATTGCTGAGTGTTGTTTTGCAGAAGTCAAGTGTGTGTTTCTCTGAAGTTACTATTTATAGGTTAACTATTGAAAAGTGTTATCTGGAGTTTTAACAAAATACCTTTTTTAGATTTCTTACAAGAATTGTTATTAAGGAATGTTTTAAATTTACAATCATGAGTGACTTAGACTCTGATGACCCTCTTCCTAACCTATTTGGAGGTAAGTCATAACTTTATACTGAATAATAATACTGAAATAATACAAGTACACAACAATTTTATTTTTTCATTACATTATCCTTAGGTCTAGAAGTGTTACTATAAAACAGGAATGTTTAAACAGAACTAACCCAAAAAAATTAAATTTACCCTCATTCCAGTAAGTTTGGTTAGGTTCAGCACGTTTGATTAGGTACTAGTGGGAACTACCAATATTAGTAATATGATCCCTCAAAATGCTAAAGCTAAAGCTAACCAAAACTAACTAAACTAATTAATACATTGTACTCACTTTCTTATGACCACAACTATTTAAGTATTACCATAGTTTATTGTAATTTTATTTATTATTATTTTATGACAGTAGTTTGAATCCTAGAAAACGAATACAAATTACGTATTAGAAAAACGTAAACAAATAACAAAGTAAACAATCAATAGTAATTCAATCGATAGTAATAATCTAACGAAATTTTCATCTAATAATATCGTAGAACGTCTGCGGAACTGCAGCCCTACCAATTATTTTACACAATTCTTTTTGCTGGGATTTTCATTAGCTGTGTTTTGTTTTTCTAGATGACGATACTGATTTCGATCCAAATTATGAAGAAGAGAGTCTAGATTCTGAAGACTCTAACTCAAGTGGACATCAAAGAGACTCAAGTGGCCTTCAAAGAAATAAAGGTAGGCCTATTTTATTAATTATCGTCAAATCTCAATATGACCTAGAAAACAATATTTTCTTTCTACCCTACACGTACACCCTTGCATAACACCTACACAATATTGTTCAATAATTGTACTTTGATCGTTCAAACCTAAAACCTACACTAAAATAAATAAGGTAGTAAAAAATAACTAACATTATGCCTAGCTGTAACAAAACTAATCCTATGGTAATTTTATGGATTTCTTTTGTGTTTCTCCCTTTCCTTCCTGTTACATAGGTTTGGACTGACAAAAAAATTTGACACTAACTTTTTTTTAGATGATGAGCTCGGAGATGACCCAGACGAGCCACCACCAAAAAGAGCGAAACATCCTGGACGTAAAAAAACGAGAAGATACAGCGTATGGAAAAGAAACATTTCTCATAAAAAACGCAATGAAGGTGAATCTTATGTCGATAGAAAAGGTATCCACCATGAAAAGAAGCAAGTAAGAGAATGTATTCATAATTGTAGGTTTAAGTGCAATGACAGAGTCAGTGAAGAAGAAAAGCAAAACATTTTCAAACAATATTGGGAACTTAGAAGCTGGGAGCTCCAACCTGCCTATCTAAATTCATCAATCAAAGTAGAAGAATCTCAAAGGAAGAAAAAAACCGGAGTTGCCATTTTTTTTTTCCTTGACAAGAGAGTTTGCAAAAAATTCTTTCTCTGTACTCTTGATGTAACTAACAAACGAGTGACAAATGTAATTGATAAGAAGAAGAATTATACCACTAGAATTGCTCCTAGGGACAAAAGAGGACACAAAGTTCCTGGAAATAAGATTTGTGAAGAGAAAATTGAATTTGTGAAAGAGCAGATTCGTACTTTTCCAAAATACACAAGCCATTACTCTCGCACTCATGCTCCAAATAGGAAGTACCTAAGTTTGAATAATACCTAATGCTCCAAATAGGAAGTACCTATATTTGAACATCAAAAAGTTGTACAACCTCTACAAAGAAAGCTGCATTGAACATGCAGTAGAGCCAGTGAAAGAAAGCTACTATCATAATATCTTTAATATTGAATTTAACCTGAGCTTTCACAAACCGCAAACTGACACTTGCATCACATGTGACAGACTTCAGAACACGATTGATAATGGGCCGCCAGATGAACAAAACGATGCTGTTATACAAAAGGAGTTACATCTGCGGAAAGCAGATTTGGCAAGGCAACAAATAACGGACGCTAAAGAAGCTGTTAAAGATGATGCTAGTCAATTAGTGATTTGTTTTGACCTGCAAAAGATATTACCGTCTCCAGTTTTGACTTGCTCAAAGGTTTACTATTCACGGCAATTATGGACTTACAATTTTTGTGTACACAATTTGGAAAATGACAATGCCAGCATTTTCATGTGGCATGAAGCCCAGGCCACTAGGGGTTGTGAGAAGATGCTCTCTTGCCTATTACGACTTGTGAGTACACTGCCAACAAGAGTAAAGAAAATTACAATGTTTAGTGATAATGCAGGTGGGCAGAATAAAAGCCGCTTGTAAAAACTGTAAAGTTTTAGATGTACATAGTACGTACTACACACATCGAAGAGGTGGACCACAAGTACCTATATCTGGCCACTCGTTTAACGATTGTGACAGAAATTTTGGTACTATTGAAAGAGCCCGCAGGAATATTGGAACAGAAATATTTGTGCCAGAGCACTGGATGGATGTAACTGCTAAATCTTCCAAGAGATTTTTAGTAGTTAACATGGAAGATCAGGATTTTATTTCTTTGCAGCCTTTGGAAGATCATTATGTTAAGGCAGTGACAGGTATTTGTTGCCTTTGGAAGATCATTATGTTAAGGCAGTGACAGGTATTTGTTGTATGCAATGGTTAAAGTTTAAGAAGTCAGATCCTGACACACTCTTCTACAAGACAACTTTCAATACGGATATGCCTTTCTCTAAGTACAACATGAAGCCTAAAGAGGTTCCAACTTAACGACTTCCACGACAACTATCTGCCAAGAATGCTGCACCAGGAATAAAAGCAAGCAAGTACAAAGACTTGCAGAACTTGCTTCAGTTTATCCCACCACAATATCATGCCTTCTACAAGTCTTTGCCAGTTCAGCAGGTACGGCAACAACCTCGAAGGGGAGCGCCAGTGCCAACCAATGATGATGTTGGTGAAATCGAAGGAGAAGATGGACCCGAGGATGTTTTGGAAAGTGACTCTGACATTGAATAGTTAATTTGCACAATGTAGCAACTCTCAGAAGTTTTTTCATGTATATCAAAGTTGTTTTTTCACTCTCTTTACTGAATACTTTTCTTTGTAACTTAATAACCTTTGGACGACAAGGGGTACAAGTGGCGCTTGTCATCACTGTATGGTGATAACAGCCATGTAGGATATAAATTTTTTTATAAAATATGTTTCTAAATTTAAGTTATAAGGTACACAACCAAACAATAATAAATTTATTGTGTTACACCTTTTGGGTATTTAACAAAAATACTTTAACTTTAAACAGCTGTATCTCAAAACTATGAAAATGTCACTTGTTCCCTCTTGGCTTCTATATGTATATATATATATATATATATATATATATATATATATATATATATATATATATATATATATATATATATATATATATATATATATATATATATGTATATATATATATATATATATATATATATATATATATATATATATATATATATATATATATATATATATGTATATATATATATATATATATACATATATATATATATATGTATATATATATATATGTATATATATATATATATATATATATATATATATATATATATATATATATACACACACATATATATATACACACATATATATATATACATATATATATACATACATATACATAAGTGTATAGTGATGTCACTATTTTTTTTGGTTCTTATTTTTTTATTTGTTTTTCTTTGTTAAAAAAAATAAAGCATCAGAGTTTGTTTCTCCTTTTTTTTTATTTAAATCAATACCTATCAAATGAAGTTTTTTGTTGCTTAGTATCACAAGCGTTTTATTCTGATTATATGTAATTTTCTTTAGTTTTCCTGATTTCTTTAGAATCTTTGCGAATCCCGTAAGTTTGTCTCTTCATAATTTTCTATCAGCAGACTTCATAAAAAATACCAGCTCCATAAAATTGTGTTGTGTGAGAAACGAATTTCCATTTGAACTTATCTCTATTTGAACTCACTATGAACAGTTTTACTGGAGATACTTTTTTTTTCCCTGTGACCTCAATTACTTATAAATTAAATGCTTCAGTATTTTCACAAATTTTTGAGCTCATTACAAATTATTAACTTTTAAATAAATTAAAATAAGTAAACTAAATAATCAATATTCTTTCAAAATAAAACAGTTACCATGAAAATCTTTTACTTGGTATATATTAATACATACCAAATTGAAGATTTTTTTACTTTGTATAATATATTGGATTTAGTGAAGTAAATGCTCCGCAATTTTTCAGACGTGAAGTAAATGCTGTCCGCAAATTTTTGGATGCCACTGAATATAAATGTAAAATTGGTTTTTTGTAAATGACCATTCAGAACAGACCATAAGTATAGTGGAGTAATATGTTCATAAAGATTCTTACAAAACTCAAAAACATGGAAAAAAAAAACATTAAACTATTAGAAGAGAAAACCATTAAACTATTGAAAATAAAATTTAAATATGACCTTATAGAATAATAGAGAAAAAGATTTCTAAGCAATTGCATTTTTTTTGTCTTTTATTTTTTATATATTTGTTTATATATTACACACACACACACACACACACACACACACACACACACACACACACACACACACACACACACACACAAACACACATTCAGAAAAAAATTTATTTAAAAACACGAATACACAAGAAGCCAAGTTTGGGGCAAACATAAAAAAAAAGCGATTACAAAAACAAATTCCAAAAATATTGACACTTACTTTGTGCTCAAGCAGCAAAATACCCCGAAAAAAGCCCAAATTGTTCCTAAATTATATGGCTTTGAGCGCAAGGTAAATCTCAATATTTTGTAAAAATTTTTTCTTAAAATGTGATCATAATAATTTTTGATTTAGATTGTTGTGTATCCTGGTTTTTTTTATAGGTGTTGTTTAAAATAAAAAAAAGCTTACGCATAATTTATATATATATATATATATAATATATATATATATATATATATATATATATATATATATATAAATATATATATATTTATACATATATATATATATATATATATATATATATATATATATATATATATATATATATATATATATATATATATATATATATATTTATACATATATATATATATATATATATATACATATATATATATATATATATATATATATATATATATATATATATATATATATATATATATATATATATATATATATATATATAAATATACATATATATATGTATGTATATATATATATATATATATATATATATATATATATATATATATATATACTACAAAAATTCTCTGTGTTTTAAGATTTAAATTTAGTATTACAAATCTAAAAAAAACTTATTACAATCAAAAAATTTCAATAGTTGCAAAATATTAAAAAACATTACACCACTGTTTTCATATAAAATTGTATTGTAATGATCAATACCATGATGCAATTCAAAGAGCTTTGTAAGATCAAAAAATTTCATACCAATAAAAAATATTAAATTTTAGAAAAATATTCAATTTAAATTTATGTAAATATTAAATTTATATTAAAAATATCTTACTGTTTGTTAGTTTCTCAGTTTTATTTTATATAGCAATGACCAAAAACAAAATCATCACTTTTTAAATATTATTTTAAATTGTATTAAAAATTTTTGACTAAATTTAAAACATTAGATAATAGTTAGTTTTCTTAAACATTCTGATTTAGAAAAGCTATATTACAACAATAATCCAATATTAAAACAAAAATCCAATAAAAACTAAATTAAAAAAAGTAATTGTTTTTAAAACTCTTCATAAATAAATTCTGCTTTGCTGTTTGGTTTTACTCTATTTTTTTGATTATGAAACTTGCATTTGTAATTTAAATTTATTGAACTTAAGATTCAACTTTTTAAGATTCACATTGCTCTGAGCTCTTGAATGTTAATCTTAAACTAAAAAATTAATCTGCACTTAACTAAAAAATTACTCATAAAATCAGATGTTATCTACATTTGTTCTTATTTAAATATAACCTATTATCTTCTGTAATCCCTAAAAAGGCACATGTTAATTAACTTGAGAATGAAAAATTTTTGAATTAATATTATCAAGATGTTTTCTAAAATGAACAAATACAACATCATGTGATACATTATCATGTGATATTCAAGCATTTATTTTTTATATAAATTATATATTTTTATATATATAAATATATATATATAAATTAGTAAAAATTCTTATTAGTAAAATAACTAAAAAATTACTTCAAGTTTCTATTGCAATTAGAAGTAGTTTTGATTTATTTGTTTTGAAATATAATCTATTATTTCAATATTCTTTTAAAAAGAATGTGCTTATTTACCTATGTAAAAAATTTTATTGAATTAATGTTATCAAGTTGTATTCCAAAATAAAAAAATATGACATGAATTTATATTTATAAAAATATGACATGAATTTATATATATATATATATATATATATATATATATATATATATATATATATATATATATATATATATATATATATATATATATATATATATATATATATATATATATAATATATATATATATATATAATATATATATAATATATATACAATATATATATAATATATATAATACATGTATATATATATATATAGTATATATACAGTGAGAACAGAATTTAATAGTACAAAGTAATTTTTCAATAAAATTAACACCTTTGAATAAAATATTTTATCATGCACTAATTATAAAGACTTTTTTTTTCTCTAATTTTTTATTTGTTAAAAGACCTTCAAAAAAAAAGTAAAATTTTTATTTAAGTATTTAAATTACCTGATTAGGAATTTTAAAATGAAGAAGGGGATAAAAACACATGCACATAAAATAATTGTACAAAAAAAGCGTTATAGGTTAAAGCTAAGAAATAATACTAGTTTATGAAAATAACTAAAAAACAGTTTCAAGTTTTTATATTTTAATAATATACTTTAATATTTAGTTGGTCCTCCTTTTGCTTTAATTACATCTAACAAGCGTTTTGGCATTGATTCTACTAGACACTTAATTTGATAATTTTCAATGTTAAACCATGATTTAACAACAGCTTTCTTCAAATCTTCTTTTTTTATAAATGATCTAGTACCTAACTTTTTATCTAATAAAGTCCATAAATGCTCTATTGGATTCAAATCAGGGCTCTGCGAAGGCCATTCTAAAACGTTTATGCCATTTTCATCGAGAAAGCTTTTAGTTTTTTTAGCAGTATGTTTTGGATTATTGTCTTGTTGAAACAAAAAAGTATTTCCCAATCTAAGCTTTTTAGCAGAAAATTTTAAATTTTGTTTCAATATATTTTTATACAAATCAGCATTCATAGTTTCATCAATAAACTCAAGTTTACCAACACCATTCCATACCATAAAACCCCATAACATTACACTTCCACCGCCATGTTTAACTGTTCCTCACATGCAACTTTAATGAAAAGCTTCACCCCTCTTTCGCCAAACTCTTAGTGCAACATCAGATTTTTTTAAGTTAAACTTGGATTCATCAGACCAAAGAACTTTTTTCCAAAATGATACAGGCATTAAATAATACTTTTTTGCACAGTTCATTCTTTTCTTCATATGATTTTTTGTTAAAAATGGTTTTTTACAAGCTATACATCCACTGAACCCTGCTTTATGAATGCAATTTCTAATTGATGTAAGTGAGATTGTGTTTCCTGTTAAGTGTTTCAAATGATTTGCTATATTTTTTGCAGTTTCAAACCAATTTTTTTTTTATCATTCTTAAAATTTCTCTATCGTCTCTTGAACTTGTCTTCCGTTTTCGCCCTCGTCCAGTATGAATTTCAAATGTTTCATATTGCTGGTATTTCTTTACAATGGCTCCTACTGTTGTAAATGAAATATTTGTAAGTTCTTCAACTTTTCTATAAGTATTTCCTTGTTTAACTAAGTCTATAACAAGTTTTCGTTGAGTAGTATTTAAATATTTACCTTTAGATGCCATACCGTACAATAAACAGAGTTTTTAATGTCTTTTTATTCCAAAATTTTATTAATTGCTAAAATTAATGTTCTAGAAATACAAAGTCAATAATAAAATTGATGTTTTATAAATAAAAAAAATTACAAACATTCATTTTCATAACAAATTACCAATATAATAACAGTTTTGTACAATTAATTTATGTGCATGAAAATTAATAGCTGTTTGAGAAAAAAAGATAAAATTGTATAGTAAACACATTTTCTAAAATATTTACTAAAAAATTATAAATAAGTAATAGTCATAATAAATTTTTAAAAAAATGTTTCAATATATATATATATGTATATATATATATATATATATATATATATATATATATATATATATATATATATATATATATATATATATATATATATATATATATATATATATATATATATTGGAATACAAATTGATAACATTAATTCAATAAAATATATTCTAGTAAATTAGGATTGATGAAATATTTAGCTTAAACATCAAAAACTACTTCAAAAAAAGCATTATCACTTCCAAAATAAAAAATTCACTTTGCAACCATATTTTAGCATTAATGAAATATTTAACCTAAACATCAAAAACTACTTCAAGGAAAGCATTATCACTTCTAGCATAAAAAATTCACCTAAGGTAACTTTGCAATCAAACATCTGTAATAGATACTTAAACTGTAAATACCTTTTCCATGATAAATAATTATTTCACCAGAAAAGGCTCCTGGAAAATGCATCTTAACCAAAATATGAAACAAAAAAATTCTAGTACTTCTTTAACTGAACTCCCAAAAGAAATTTTTAGCACAATGATCTATTTTTTTACCATATTGTGTAAATATGTTATCAAAATCTTTTTTATATTGCATGGATAAAAGATTTACTGAGAACAAATTTCTTTGTGTGAATTATATTAAAACATTGAAGCTGTAGATCTTTTTACCCTATAAACCTGTCAAGCTGATGATTGATTTTGATGACATGTTACTTTAGCAAGTCGATTGTATTGTTTTACAAAATATTTTAGATAAGTATTGATACAGTTGTTTGGAATATCTTAAGCATTGGGATTCAAATTTTAATTGCAAGAAAAATCAAACAAGCTACCTGTAGGTTCTTTTTAACAAATAAGCATTTTTTCTGGGTAGGTAAAATCGGCAGAATTGGCTGAGCAGATCATTTATATCGTACACATGGCAGAGCAGATTATAAAATCATCTTAACAAATAGTCTGTCAAAATAATGTGGCAGATCGCATGCGCAAAGAGCACTCTAAATCGAAGTTTAATTCTAGAAAGAACAACCATTTAGAGACTTAATTCTCGTACTCTAATGTTTTTTGTGTTTGGTTGTAAACGCCTTACAAATAAAAAAAGGAATGTAATCTGTAAATTCAGGAACTTAATATAAATTTTAAATTTGTTGTTGTTGTTGTTGTTTTTAATTCTGATTCACTCCCAACAAGGCAGCAAGCAACCACTATTAAGTTGGGAGTTACTAGAAAAGCTATGATATCTATATTTGGACTTAAATCTTGCCATGAATAACATACTAATTATGAATTAGTTATTATCTAATTTATTATTGCTTCTATTAAAACGAAATGAGAACAGCTCGATAGAGTCTAATAACAATAAGTGAAAAAATTTAACTTACTTTTTAAACTGTTCAAAATTATATAGAATTCGTTGATTTAATAAACAACATAGAATTAAATTTTGCATATATTTTGGTTGTTATTTACACCGTTGAGTGGTGATGTTTTAACACAATGTATATTCTACATAACAGTTATTATTTACACTGTTTTGGTGTAAAATTACATCGGTTTGATGTATTTCATGTTTCACACCTTTTTAGTGTTAATTAACACTGTTTTGGTGTAGTGAATGGAAATGGTTTGATATCTTTAGATACAGAATAGTGAACTTCTTATGGTAAGAAATAGATTATACCTTTTTCTTTCTTATCTTTTCTTATCTTATCTTCTCATGAGATTAAGTTGTCTGATACCTTTTTTTTCTCAATGGTTAAAAGTCCATTTATTATTCCAGATTATTACTTTAACAAATGATAAAGTTCTGTTGTTTCTTTCTGGTAAGTGAAAAGTTTTGGCTGAAAGTTTAACACATACTACACCATTTAATTTATTGTAACTTTCTCATTTAAATCTTTTTAAAAACTTTTTTAACAAATTTTTTTAACGGTTTTTGATATGTATACAATATAACTAGATAGTAAAATAAATATACCGTCAGTAGTTTTATATTAGCTATCGATAAATATATATTTTTTTACCACAAACCTTCTATCAAAAATGACACATTTTACCCATATTGATTCATTCTACCATTAAGATTTGATATTAGGTGCAAAATTTTTCATACCATATTTGATGGATCACAATACAATAATTTTTAACATTTGTTCTGCTGATTTATTTGGTAAACCACTTATCAAGACTTATAAGACTTAGTTGATTCTGCTATGCCATTTACGCTTTGCCAATTGGCTCTGCTCTGCCAATTGTACCTACCTTATTTTCTAAACTTTCTGAACTTGATTTAAATATAACAGCTTTAAAATTAGATGGTGTTAACTGATATGCAATATGTTGATATTATTTATTTATCAAAAAGTAAGATTAAAAGATTTTTTAAAACTTTTGATTTTGGCAATGTTAAATGTAAAATGTTTTAAAATACAAAAAATAAATTTCATCTACAATAAAGTTGCTAACTTTTAATAAAGTGTCATTTGAAACAATCTATACAGACTATCACTTGCTTAATCATTAAAGAAAAAATTATAGTTTCATAAAAACTTTTTAAACACAACATTGTCAAAAAAACCACTTCAAACATAAACACAATAACTATTGTTGGTGTAGCCCACAGATTTAAAAAAAAAAACAAGATCTGCAATAAATTGCAGATCTTAAACTGTTAAAGGGCGGCATCAGGTTGGCAAAAAAAATTGACTTAAAAGAACTTTTGTGTCAAACTTTGCAAAGAAACTGAATTTAATTAAACAAATATTAATCACATTTCCAACTTGAGTAATTTTTTTATCTGTTAATTATCTAAAAAAAACTAACTAGATCCCAACATTTAAACCAAAATAATGACAATACATTATACTTTACAATTTGGCTTTAACTTAATATAATTTTTAATCTTGCTCAAAAATACACTGACAAAAAAATATATATCTAGCTTTAATTAACACAGAAAGTTTAGTAATTTTATGCAACTTACTTTTATTTCATTCTTTATAGTTCTTCATCTTGCTTTTGAAAGAATTTTGCTTGTTTTCTTTATTGATATTATGAGAATTTACTGTTTGATCATTTTAAAACTACTTCCTCCATAGTCTCCTCCAATTTTAATTTGCATCTCTTTTTGATAAGGTACAGCTAAAAGAAAATTTAGCTGTAGTAACAATTTAACTGAAACTAGAATGCAATTTTAAAAATATGTGTTTATAATTTAGTTCAAACTAGAATTCAACTTTATGTGTTTTTATAAAGTTATAAACAATAGATGTTGGATAAAAACTAACTAAAAATATATCCTTAATCTGATGCATCATTGTGTCTTGAAACTAGTGGTTCAAATATTTTACCTTTCTAAAATAAGTCTTTTAAAATGAAATAAAGTTAAAAATTTAATATTTTACTTAATATTGGATTAAAAAAATTCTAGTTTTAATTGGATGCCCATTATAATTTTTTACAACTCTTAGTTAAAGCACTGATGCTAAAACCTGAAAATATATACATCTTGAAGACTAAAGCCAATCAATGATTTACATTTTTCTTCCAGTCTTAACACACAATTTGCACTCTGTCTTTTTTTATATACAATAATTCCTATGTTTTCTATTATTATTAGAAAAATCAAGTGTAAAATTAGTTAAAAAGCTTTGAGGATTGGCAGTTAACAACATGATCTGACTTATCTGCAATAATTTCCAGCTGATTTTTTATTAAAATATTTCAACATTTTATCATTTTGATTGATCCCTTGTTGCTGGAGACATAAGCTTTAGAAACTGATGAATAAAATAGACAAAAACAAATAACAAAAAAAAGGATCAAAAGTACTGTTGAAAATACATTTAGTACAACTGAATTGAAGTACATTGAAATAAAAGCACCTAATATAAAATTTAAACATATATATAGATATATTACTCTTGGTTCTCCACTTCTTTATGTAAGTAAGTTTTCTTTATTTTTGGTCATCATTTATTTAATAATATGAAAGGCAGCATCTTCAACTATTCTGGAAATCACACTGCTTTTTGTAAGTCTAAAAACATCTGATATGTTGGTTTTAGATGAGAATAGCTTTAAATAGGATAACGGGGACAATATTAACAATGATCTTGTTGACAATGATGGTTGCAGCAATGTTATTGGCAACAATAAAGTATTTTGAAAACTTATGTTTTTATAAACCTTATATAGTTTATATTCTTGACATAAATTAAACTTCATTGTGCATATAATACAAGCAATAGTCAACATTTTGCTGGGAGAAATTGTAAAAACTGTAAAATTCCATTTTATTTGATATTGGAATTCATGCATATTAATCAACAAATTCATATATTTATATTCTTTTCAAGATATATATATATATATATATATACATATATATATATATATATATATATATATATATATATATATATACATATATATATATATACATATATATATATATATATATATATATATATATATATATATATATTTATATATATATATATGTATATATGTATATATATATATATATATATATATATATATATATATATATATATATATATATATATGTATATATATATATATATATATATATCCTTATAGTGTAGTCGAAAGAGCGTTTTAATGTAAAAAAAGTCTCTTACGACTACAATTTTAATTACCTCGTATCTTAAGCTGTATTTGATTGTCGTCGAAATGTCAAAGCAATTAAATTAATGCGGAAGTACATTAAATTTTATTGTTTTTTAAAAATTTTTTAAAAAACCGCAATTATAACGACTAGAAAGTTTTTTTTTATTAGTGATGTTTTTGTTTTTATTTTATTAAAAAACATTTTTAAAACATGCATAAATGTTGCTACATCGACTATCTTATAGCCTGACTCGCAACGGAGTGCTGCTACATCAACTGACAAATAGCCTGACTCGCAACAGAGTGCTGCTACATCGACTGACAAATAGCCTGACTCGCAACAGAGTGCTGCTACATCGACTGACAAATAGCCTGACTCGCAAGGGAGTGCTGCTACAACGACTGACAAATAGCCTGACTCGCAAGGGAGTGCTGCTACATCGACTGAGGGTTTGGTTTGGGCAGGCAGTCTATCATTTAAAAAAAAAAAAAATTTAAGTTTTTAAACTTTTTTTGGTCTGGTTTATTAACGCGCTCTTTAAAACTACAGTTTATGGGAAACGCTTTTCAACTACCATGCAAGAGTATATATATATATATATATATATATATATATATATATATATATATATATATATATATATATATATATATATATATATATATATATATATATATATATATAGTATATATATAGTATATATATAGTATATACAGCCCCAGCGCTAGACATTTCTAAGGTGGGTGAAAAAAATTATTTGGGGTCTTGATAGTGTTTTAATAAAATTTTAGGAAAGATGGTTAGAAATAATTTAATAGAAACAGGTTAGCAGATAAAAGTATCACTCAAAAGGCGATCAAAGTCCAACTGCTTATTTAATATAATTTATGCGTAAATTAATTCTTTGATTTCTAAACTAGAAAAAAAAGTAAATTTATTCTAGCACTATATAAAAATATTATGGAATATTATAAAATAATAAACTGTTTCTTTTTTACAACAGGATATTTTTAGAATATTTGAACATTGATAAAATGCAAAAGAAAAAATGATTTTAATTTTTTTTATTATTAATTTTTTAACATCTTATATAATTATCTATATTGAAGTTATATAAATACTACTAGTTATTAAATAATCTCTTTTTATAAATACAACTAGTTACATAAATAGTTATTAAATAATATCTTTGAGGTATGAAATAAGTACAATAACTTTTTTCTTTTTCACATTCTTATTTTATATTTCTGAAAAGCGAAGGTCAAAATGTAATGCATTCGGTTATATTTTAACAAAGCTTATTTAAGCTTTCTTTTCGAAGAAAAAATTAATAAAGTATTAAACTGTTATTGTTGAATTATATTCAACTTTCGTTTCAATGCGAAAAAAAAAAAGAATAAATAAAATACATCTACAAATATGGAGTCGATATAATGAGCTATTTGTATTATTGAAAAATCTTTTTTTAAATTGGGATTTTTATGAAACTAAATAATAACTAAAATAATCAAATTGTTTTATAACATAGAGCTGAGTTTTGAACATGACCATTCTGCACATTCGTCTTCCAAAACATAATCAGGGATACGTTCACAAGCACAATGATACCAATTTTCACATATTCCCAATTGCACAATGTCTAAATATAATTCTCAGAACATTCAAAAGTACTAATAGCCAATCAGTGGGCATCGCCATCATGCAACACCTGGACAAGATGCTTTTTGTACACGTAACGTACAATTACTACTTACTTTGTAGTGATGTTTGTTTTAATGCTCCAATCCAATGTCAATTAGGTAGCAGGAAAAAATTCCCTGGGAAAAAAAACCCCGGAAAATATCCCCCAAAAAAAAAATTTTTTAATTAAAAATTATCAATAAAGAAGCTATATTTATTTATTTTAAATAGTTTTTATAAAATACTTCCTTTTTCATCAAAATGTCAAGTTATGCGCTATTCTGTGGTTATTGGTAAAATGCAAACTGCAAATTGCAAACTGGTAAAATGCAAACTTTTTTGCAAACCAAAACACTATATTTTATAAACCATTATTTTTATGATAAAAATAATAATTAAAAAAACTCTCCAATTCTTAATTATCTTTTTTAAAACTTTATTTAAAATAAAACTTTTATTTTTTAACTGTAAAACATGTGCAGAGTGTTGCTACATTGACTATCTTATAGATTGACTCACAACAGAGTGCTGCTACATCGACTGACAAATAGCCTGACTCGCAACGGAGTGCTGCTACATCGACTGAGGGTTTGGTTTGGGCAGGCAGTCAATCAAATAATTTTAAAAGATATATATTTTTATTTTATATTTGTCTAGTTTCCCTTAACTTCCTTTGATTTTTTTTTAAATAATTTTTTCGCTCAAAAGTCCTTGAAATATACCGCTAAATTAACTATTTAAAGGTAAACGATAAATAAAGTATTACATCATTAACAACTAATACGACGATGATTCGCAAAAAAGTTCACATTTTACCATTTCGCAGTCAGGGCCAGGGTTAGGGTTTCACATTCACATTTTGATGAAAAATGAAGTATTTTATATAAATATTTAAAATTAATAAAGAAATAAACTTAACTACATATTGATAATTTTTAAGTAAAAAAAAAACTTTTATTTTTTTGGGGGGGGGGATATTTTCTGGGGGGGATTTTTTCTCAGGGGGATTTTTTCCGGGGGGATTTTTTCCGGGGGGATTTTTACTCGGGGGGATTTTTTCTTGAGGGATTACTTTGAGGGAATTTTTTCCATGGGGATTTTTACCCGGGGGATTTTTTCTTAGAACCTGTCAATTAATGGTCAAAAAAGTAAATTTCAGTCATGTAAATTTACTAAATTAAATCCATTTATCAACAGTATTTTTGCTGAAATAAAAAAAAAGAAAAATAATATAGAAAAAATAGTATTTTCAAAATCGCCATAACTACACTGAGTTCACAAAACTTTATATATTTATAAAAGTAAATATTGTCGCTTTTCCAGATAATGTTAACTTCAGTTAAAAATATATATTATACCTGAACTTCAAAAGCTCTTTGGAGTGGAAAGGGCAGCAAACCTAACAGAATTAATGATTTCATAACTATGAAGAAATCGAGTAACTTCCTTAAATGAATCGCAAATGCAGGGCTTGGTGTAGTCTAAAACTTTAAACTCGTTGAGATATTAAATTATATTAATAATTATTTCAAAGAATTAAAAAAAAAAAAAAAAAAACCTTTCAAAGTTGTAGTGTATTCTTTTACTTTATATAATGTATTAGTATCAAATCAAATCTGAACCAGAGCTAAAAAAAAATATCCAGAATAATGCATAGTAGCTTTGACTATTTTACATCAGTGATTTTGATTAATAATTAAAATTCATCAATAAACTTTGTGATGAGGAGAGCAAATAAGTGAAACTAATCATTTAAAAAACGTTAAGTTTTAAAGGCTGATAAGGATACATGTGGCAGGGCTAAAGTAAAAGGCTTACAGCCTTTTAATTTCATCATTCAAGTCATTATTTATTATTTTTTTATTAGTTACTAATGGGGCAATAAGTTATGTCATAATTTCATTAAGATATAACAAACTACGTAGGTGTTAGTCCATGACAAAACCCATTTTTTTAATCCCCAACTTTTGTTGAATCGTGCTTTAAAAAAAAATTCTGGAAAATGACTGAGATTAGTATCAATATTGAATGAGATCCAGTGGTTGATTACGTGTTCCAAGAAAAAATATTCTTTGATTTGAGTTGAGGAAATTATGCTTTACCAAACCAAATAGGTTGCCATTACTTCTTTTGTTTTTCACTGGTTCAAAGAATATCTTATCCAGAGTCTATAAAACTCATACGTTATCTTGTATACTTCTTTTAGATCAGATCCGTATCATTGTTGTTCAAGTGTCCATAAACCTAATTTAAGTATTGTCTGTATATGAAAGATGTTTTGCTAACCAATGATGTTTTTTTAGATTACCTTTTTAATAATCTTGGACATAAAAAGATGATAGAGTGATGCAAAATATTCCATGTGTGGATTTACTAACAAGTTATAAAATTTCAACATATTATTAGAGTGCCTGTTGGTTGTTGTATGGTTTATCACATCTGTACACTGCCAATAAAACTCTGATATATTAATACATTTAACAAACATCAAAGTTAGGCACACAAGCTTTAGGAGGAAGCATTATTAACCAACTTAAGTTGAAGTTGCATGCATTCGAAAAAAATGTGTCCAACATGTTCAAGTCTTAAAAGATAATGAACATATCATAACAGACAATAATTAGGGCATGGTTGTGACAATGTCATGGACCATGGTCACAACAAGAACTATGGCCAGGGCCAAAATGCAGGACATTATGTAAAACTAATAAAAAAACTAAAATAGTCCATGTTCTTGGTACCAAGAAAGAAGGCTCAAAATTTTTTATTTAACAAACTTTAAATTAAAAATGTAAATAGCTCTAAAAGTTCTGAATAATTAGCTCTAAAAATGTAAATAGCTCTAAAAAATGTAATAACCATCATTAATGTGAAAAAAAAAATATATTTAAGATAATAATATATTATCATTAATGATATATTATCTTAAATAATATTTTAATATATCATCATTAATGTGAAAAAAAAATTATTTAAGACAATTATATTATAATAATATAATTGTCTAAAATAATTTTTTAAAGAACAGAATGTTCATTGAATAATAATTATTCAATTAACGTTCTTTAGCGGTTCAGCACAGTTTCGTAATAGTGGCGGATAATATTTACACAGAAAATGTTATAAATAAAAATATAAAAATAACTGCATGGAACTCAGTTAGTTCTTTATCCAGCCAAAATCATGGCTGGTTAGCTGAGTTGGTGTCAAAAGAATCATTAATATCCGGGCAATTGTGCTATATGAGTTCAGCGCTCGAGTAGTACTTGAGTAGTACCTCGGAACGCAAAATGCTGTTCAATAACAGACGCTACATTGGATTAATAGTTACGACTATTTTTGGCTGTTCCTATGCTAAGCCATCTCTCCGGATATAAGAGCATGGTATAACAAAATATAGCATGAAATTTAAATAATAAATAGTTCAGAAATTCAATAATAAAACAAAAATTAAATTTACTTTTTGAAATATATGCAGACTCAACTCATTGAAAAGAGATGCTGGAAGGAGAAAAAACGAAAGGAATAAAGATATATATAAAGTAAATCACTCGCTCCATTAAGGAAAATCAATGTCAGTCGCACAAAGACCTTACAAGAAATTTAAGGTGCAGCTTTGATAGGGAAAATACTAAAATCTCAAGAATGTAAAGCGTATTATTAAAAAAAAAAAAAAAAAAAAAGTGATCTTATACGGTAAGCAATCGCTCCGGCGCACAGTGATTATTCCCACACTATCTAGCGGAGCAAAAATATTTCTTTTACTAATTTGATGGTTTTAGTCATGAGCGTTTGAAATAAGTTTTACTTTGCTGTGGTGTTGAATGATTATTTCAAGCGCAGCGATCACTCTAGTGATCGTTGCGATAGTAATAACATAACAAAAAAATGAAGTACGAAATAAATTAAAAACAAAACAAGAATACATAAAGTTATATAATAAATATATTTAGTTAATAGAAAACTCATAGTTTGTATCCTCCGAACACACTTACTAGAATTTTCAGAAGATAATCCATATTTAAGGGGCTTGTTGTGGGTCTAAATTTGTCTTCTTCTTGCCCCAGCCATATATTTGCATCTTATTATACATAATTTTGTAAAAATTTTCATATGGTGAAATATATAATAATGATTATTGAAAGATTAAATGGTTTATCCAAAAAATTACAATTTGTTATTGTTGAAATCGGAAAATTAAATTCAAAACCTCTACTGGCAAATTTTTGCTTATTTTTGCAGATGTTATTTGCAGATGTTATTAAAAACATATTCACCAAACCCATATTTGTAAAAAGAGGCAACTATTTTCTATTTTCTGATCTTTTTCAAACGTTGTCTGATATAACATTTATCCTAACTGCTTCTAGCTTGCCATTTTTTTTATGTTCAAATGATAGTTAATGCGTAGTAGGCATTCAAAAGTAAGATTCAAAAGTGGATCCCTAATCCAAGCATGCAAGGTAGACAAACCAAAACTTTAATTGTCTTTTTAATCAACAAAACCTCTTAATTTACCATTCATTATTTTTGGATTCAAAAATGTTACATTTGTGGTGCTGCAAAATTGTAACACTTTTGTGTAGAGCGCGTAAATAATAGAATTACAACTACATCAAACAGACGTGTGCAGTGGCGCACTAAGACTTCTTGGGGCCCGGGGCTATTTTTATTTTTGGGGGCTTTATTATGGGCCTGAGCCTAAAAATAATTAAAAAAAAAAATAGGTTCTTTAAAATTTTGGGGAGGGGCCCGGGGCTTTAGCCCCATCCACCCACCCCCTCCACCTCCCCCTTGATCCGGCACTGGACGTGTGAACGGAAGAAGTTTAATAAAGAAAAAAAAAACCCTTTAGCTAAAAAATATTAATTTTTTATTTTATTAGTTATTATAATTTTTTTTTTTTTTTCTTTACTAAAACTCTATTATCGATAGCGAAAATTTTGTTACAATGGTTATGTTGAAAGAACTGCTATTGATTCAAGCAGATACAATGTTTAGATGTTTTAAAAAAAGCTTTAACAACATTAATGAAAGAATACTATTATTAGAAAAGGATGTTGAGGAAATAAAACGAGGACTTACTTTTGTTAGAAATGATATTGAAACCAAAGTAAACAAAGTAGATAGTAGTATGGCGATAATAAAAGAAACAATATTTGGGATAAAGTCGTTTCAAGGAAAGTTAGTAAACGAGGCGACAGAAAACAAACGCAAAACTGTTGAGTTAGAGGATCGCAACCGGCGAAATAATTTAAGAATAGTGGGCAATAAAGAATGAGTAAACGAAATCAATGAAGATTGAAAAAAATTAAAACCCTCATTAAAATAAATGAGTCTATTACAATTGATTTTAAAATAAATGAGTGTATTATAATTGACTTTAAAATAAATGAGTCTATTACAATTGACTTTAAAATAAATGAGTATGTTACAATTGACTTTAAGTTACAATTGAAAGAGCTCATAGAGTTGGAAAGTTAGAAAATCCTTAGTTAAAGTTAGACGATCCTTGATTGTCTTGCAAAATACTCATTAGGCAAGATAAAGAGACAATTTTAGCAAACGCTCGTAAGTTAAAAGGAAAAAAAATATTTATTAACAAAGATTTTAATAAAGAAACAACAAGAATACGTAGAGAACTTTTTGCTCAAGCTAAAATTCATAGAAGTAACCGAAGGTGATTTATAGCCGTTTAATCGAGATATGCCGATTGAGAGTAAAGCTGATGACAAAACAACTTTAAATAAGCTTTTATAATTTATTTTTGAATTTCTTGATTTAACTTTTTTTTTCAATGATAAAAAGTAATATGACTAAAATCAATAATTTTGAACAATCCAAAAAATAACATTAAAAACTTTATATCTCCTATTTTAGAAAACTTAAAATCTCAAGAATACAATTTTATAAACAATTTAAATGCTAAATGCCTAAACAATGAATAATATAAACCTGATAAGTTTATTAAAGATAAAGTCAAAGAAAATTTTAGCATTTTAAGTGTAAACATGCGTTCTATGAGTAAAAATTTTGAATCGTTTAAAAATTTCTATTACTTTTTAAATTATCTATTTGACGTAATTTGTATTTCAGAAACATGAGAGAAAGCGAATATGCCTTTGTTAGAAAATTCACTTTATAATTTATCATTTTATAAATTGATTAGCCAACCACGAGTGAGCGGCATTGGAGGCAGAGTTGCTATCTATATTCGTAAAAAAATTTGAATTAAAAAAAAAAGCATTTAGCAAAACAAATAAAGATATAGAAACCTTATACTTAGAAGTTTTGAATAAAACTAACAAATCATTACTTATTTCCTTATTGTATCGATCACCTTGTGGCCACAAGGTGGTCGATACAATAAGCAACTCAATACAATGGTTGATACAATAAGTAGTTAGTACAATAAGTAGTGGTTGATACAATAAGCAATTAATAAAGTTATTTTGATTTCCGCGTGGAAATCAAAATAACTTTATTAATTGCTTGAAAAACATAA